TGGGGGTGTTCAAGCCTCACCAAGGAGAAATGAAAGCAAGAGCCTGCAGGGCTGGAACATTGGCACAAGTTATTGCCAGGGGGGTCTCACTCTGGTGTCCTGCTTGGGCAGCATTTATTTGATAGGTAGAGCATGGAAGAATATCAGCCTCTTTGCCCCCCAGTCTGACACCTTAATTCCAGTTTCAATTACTTATTATTTATCACTTACAGTTTTTTTTCCCCAGAGTTGTTCCTCCTATTAGAAATTATGATGAAGCCTCAGAGGTTGGTGATGGGGTTTCTGGAGTTCTCTGAGCTAAGTACTTCTCTCCCTGGAGCACTGTCACTTTATCACCAGATGAAGAATTTGGTCCTGTATTTAAGGTTAATCTGCTTGGGAATCTGTTGTGGTATCTTGGATCAGGCTGCTGCATGAGACATCCACATGCTGCTAGTATGACCAGTGCTAGCCTTCAGACAAGGAGTGGCTGTCCAGAAAACCACCCTGCATCCTTTGATAGCGTCACTATTGTAGGTTTTATTCTTTTTAGCAGCCACGTTATAAAAATAATAGATAGCGTCACCATGATAATTAAAATAATTGTTTAATGGAATTGTTGGTTTAAGGATGTTGTCCTACTCATTGACTGTCTCCACTTGGCAAACGGCAAGACAAGTAATGATCTGTACCTTGCCTGGCTGATCCATATTCACGGGAGCTTTTATAGCTGAGGGAACTGAGGAGTTTGCTCAGTCAGGTGCGTCACAAGAAATGCTTTGCATCACGGGGCCAGGTTTAGGGTCTCTAAGTGCCTCAAGAGTTGTGCTCACTTTCATGTCAATAAAAGTTTGACCCTTGTCCAACTTCAGAGAGAAGGAAAAAAAAAAATCACTTCTAAGAAAAGCTTTCTCATGGTGCACTCTGAAAGCAAACCTTTCCAGTGTGCACGGCAAACTGGCCTGTACAGAATATCCAGGCTGTTTCATGGCTTCACAAAACCAAAGAAACATACCCTGTCCCAAGCATCTTATAAAATTAGGCCCAAGTTTCTGAATGTCACCCGCTCCTGTTGCCTTCTGAGGTTCTACCACATGAGCAAGATAAGTGAATTCATGCTCTAATTTTAGACATAATGCAATTTGCTGAGAAGACTGCAAATGGAAAAGGATTACGATTGGGAGTGGGAGCAAATTGATGATAATAATGTTACTGAAAATTGGACATAGAAGGAAAACAATCCTTATACTTGCCCTCTCATCAGGGATTAATAACCACAACCTTGGAAGGCTCCAAAGGACTTAACTCTGCCTGAAAGCAAGACGACTTGCTGGCTGCAAACAGGAGAAGCAGGTGGCTCACACCAATAACCCCCCCCCCCCCGCAA